TGAGATTCAATTCTACCTAGCACTAACAATTCTTCTTAAATCCAACATGTATATACAAACTATTAAACTGTCCACTTGTCAAGTATGCAAGAACTGTGGATCGGGATGCCCCATTTGTCCACTACACATCATGCCTAATCGTTGAATTAATATTCTAGAACTCATCGTTTGACCTTTACGCTTTGCTGTATACCTTTCCAACCAAAGGAACCAGAACACTAGAAGATGAATAATCTAGTGGGCAGTACCTGAGTCATTGGGCCTGTCTTGAATTCTCCAATGATTGGAATGACTCTAAGCTGATTCTTCTGACGTCGCTTTAATTTGTCGCCACTATCAATCTACATGTACATTTTGTTTCAATAATGCTATGTAGCTTCAATGAGGTTGCATCCCCAGTCTAGATGACAGTAAATGATTGGCTAAATGATATGTGAAATTAAATGATTTATTTAATTTTAATCATCATTTAATGTCACATTAACGACACCTAAATTGGGGATGCAACTCTAGTGGAGATGAATAACATTACTCATTTTGTTTTACATCAGTTTTGACATGGTGTCATATGTCCGCACATGATTGGACATTTTAAAAAAAAAGACACATTTCAGCCCAACACCTTTTGAATTTCGATACAATGTCAAAAAAGATGTACACCGTATAATGTACTCTTAGCATAATTGTTTGTCGCAATGTAATCACTTAACTAAAATTTATAATCAATGTCACTCTTGTAGCTCATATTACTAAATTCAAATTATTCAAAATCCCAATCCTCCATTAGCCATGTTTCAAAATCAACATTTGAGCGTTTGGTAAACAAACATGATTTATTATTATGTAATGATATTCTTTTTGTATTAGTTATTACTATTACTATCTTTAGTAGCAGTGTAATATATTTATTTTACTTTTATAATGAGTAGTAATATTATCAAAAAAATTAAGATAGTGTATTTACTACAATTTACTCATCGCACTTTCACATAATAAGAAAAAATATCCAAATATTTCACAGTCAAATTTTTACATTGTTTTAAATTTCCAAATATACAAATAAAATCAATGTCTAATTTAGTGGTTATGTCTTTAAACCACGAGTCTCCATATGTGACCTCTTTCTCTCTGCAACCACAAGACTCGTACTAGATGGTGTCGTTTCAGGAGGCGATAACGATATATCAACATTTTCAACCGTTGTTCTCTCACTAGACGACGCCGTTTTCTCATGGCTAGTAGTTTCTTGTTCATTATCTTCATGTATTTCTCCTCCTCCATTCTTATCGGCCATAGGCGGAGAATCCACGTTCGACTTTAGGGTTTGTAGGTGATTTTGGGGGAAGAAACGCATAAAAAATTCCATCTTGATTGGGATTTTAATTGAGAAATGTTGGTGAAATTGAAGGGCTGAATTTTCTTGCTTTTTGATTCTTAATTAAATTCATCAATTTTAGTCCTTCAATTGAGAATCAAAATTTCAAAGTCAAATCTTGAATTCTGTCCTTCAACTGAAATTCATCAGTTGAAGGATTCCATCTGGAAATGGAATTTTAACTAAGAATTATTGGTGAAATTGGGATTTACCCATTCGTATGTTACAATAAGAGAGAATTGAGATTTTTTATTCTTTTGATTTCTCAGATTTGGGGTTTGCAAATTTGGAGTATGTGTGAGGTGGATGGAGAACAAGAAGGTGGATTAACTGGTCAACTAACGGTCAAACTAACATAATTCATCCATTTGAACTTCAGTTGCGACATTTTGAAATGTTTGGTATTGTGGGTGACATAAATGAAAGGTCCGAACAAAATCTGCTACTAAATGAAATGTTTAATACCGTTGTTGCAATTATCCCAACAAAGAAATTACCTCAATTAAATATGGTTAATAATAGATAAGTGAAGGCCAGAGTATTCTACTATTTATCAAAATCAATAACCAAATGGTATAGATTATTCTCTTATCATTTTTTTTTAAATTTATGAAATGTCTCAAAATAATTTCTGATTATTCGACAATTAGAAGTTGAGCACTTGAGCTCTAAAATCATTCTCAATTGGGACCAAGTGTTTAAAAGTCTTTTATTGCTACATTATCTTTTTTATATTTATTGTAATTTGAATAAATAAACAAATAATTAGCTTAAAAAACATTGAAATGACTAGATATTATGGACATGTAGAAGATTTTAAAATAAGAGTATGTTCAAATTTCTTAATAAAATAAAATTCTATAGCTTCCACCAAGACTTCGTAACCAACTCAACTACATCCGACTCGAGCCAAGTCAACCTAACATTACTTAAGTTTTTGTAGCTTGCACCAAGTCTGACACGACATATCGTTGCCACTTTCATCTAAGGGTTAGCAATGCTTGACTTTGCCCTAAGACATCTAAGCTTGGCTTGTACACATAAATTAGGGTTGGCTCGCCCTTTGGCTTTTGTACCTCATAAATTGAGTAGTCCACGAGCCCACAATTTGACTCATTTTTTAAAAGATTAATTAAACATGCCAAAAACGAGTGGTCCAAAACCCATGAGATGACTTGTGAAAAGAGAAGGGTGTCCAACTTGATCAATGATTCATCTCAAAAATCCAAATTGTCCATGAGCCGAACTCAACCATGTTTGGCTCTCATTTTTTCAAAATTTATTTTCAATTATAATTTTCAATCATACATTCTCTTATAAAATAATATTATAGGTCTGTTTGGTTCGGATTAAAATCTGATTTTAATTCAAGTCAAAATCAAACAATCAATATTACACATCTTTCATGGGTCCCGCAACTTTTCAACCACATATTTTAAAAACTTTTATCACAATTTACTAAAAATTTAATTTTAATCCCCACCAAACACCCTTACGTAAATCAAAAATTTTTTCTTACTTTTTAACCACACAATCTCCAACAAAACACTATTTAAAAATACATTTTTTTGTCCAAAAATGAGGCTCAAAAGGGCTTCTTTCAAATTTTGTATTTTTACCCCTTATTTGAGCCTTAAGCAAAAATAGGCTTAGCCGCTTAGATTCTACAGGGTCATATATATATATATATAATTTTTTTTTTTCATAATATTTTTCATCACATCAATAATTTTTTCTTTCTTTTCAACCACACATTTCCCATCATATCACTATTCAAAATCAATTCTTCCCCAAAAAATCTCTCCCAAACAAGCTCATAAACTAGTAAAGATGAGGGCTTATCCATATAAATATGCAAATAAGGGTAGAAAAGTAATTTACAAAATGATTCACATGACTCCCGTTCCCCTCATCTCTTCGGAAGTCGGAACCTATCCCCATATCGTCACCGTTTTGTCTTCGTGGGTAATACGGTCATTTAACTGTGGTGATGATATGCAACTTGTACATGAACATAAAATAAAGAGTAAATTATTCAAGAGGTCCCCTACCTTTTATCAGTGTAGTAATCATATCCTTAACCTTTCATTTATTGCATCTAAACTCCAGTATTTTAACAATATGCGTGCTGTGTCCTGCATACCAAAGAACTTCTATTTAATTGTTGAATAGCTAGGCAACATGCAAATGAGGCATGATTGAAAGGGTAAAGTTGTCAAAAAATAGCAACATTTAAAGTAAGGGGGATTATACGGATATCTTTTTTTTTTTTTAATGTTGCCTAGCTTTTTAATTTCATCAAAGGTCTTCAACCTTAGGTCATCGTTGGTTAGCTATAAAATTTTTAGTCACTGTCTAATAATTAATATTTTAGATTTCGTCCATAATGATGATTTTCGTCCAAAAAATCGTGTAAAAAGAATTAGTTACTGTTTGGATATCACTTTATAAATGATTTATAAATTTAGTTAAAATCAAATATTAATTTCAACCACACATTTACAATTACTATTCATTCTTATTTACACATTTTCTTGATACTCATTACTCTTCCTCTTTATAAACTATTAATAAATTTGTCCGATGGAGGCTTATTTACTCCTCGTATCTCTAAATAAAAAAAATAAAAAATATGAAAATGTGATCGAATATTAGTTCATTTTCTCAAAGCATGTTAATTGAATATTTTGCACACAAACCATTATTAGAGTTAAATGTGCTAATTAACGAAAGATTAAGATTAGAAAATAACATTAAAATGTGGAATGACAAGTGTGACAATAAACAAAGATTTTATACATTTAGTGCAATTTAAAGTAATGTAACAAACGAAAAATGTGATATAAATATAATTATCTTTAATGTCATTTGAATCGTCTCCATCAGATTTCACCGAGTGTCAATTGGATATTTAACGTTTAAATTGACATTTTCCGTTAGATAGGGATTCTTGAGTGTCGAGTTAAAATGTTGGGGACAGGGGTGCCATTCATGAAAGATTGAGGATATAGCTACTACACTCATAAAAGATTGGTGACTCGAGAGGAATTTATCCTAAAGTAAAATGTGATAGAGACTGGGAGAGAGAATAAATTAATAAAATGAGGGTAGAGCAACCAGAGAGAATGATATAAGAAAATAATAACTGAAAAAGCAGCAAATACAGCACAGAAAAGCCTTGCAAACCCAGCTCAGAAAAAGGGTCTTCATAAAACCTTCATTTATATTCAAAAAAAAATAAAAATAAAAATCTATAGTTGAAAAAGAAAAAAATTGGGCCAAGAATGTCAGAGAAAAAGATTAGTGGGCACTCAACAACTCTGTTTCTCTTAGACTAACCTATTCTGATTCTCTTTGTTTTATCCTCATATAATATGCATATGTAAGTGTGTATTTTGTGTCCTTGTGCAAATTGTTGCTTCACATACACTCTGGTCTCTCTATACAATGTACATACACACACCTCAGTTGAGAGCCACATAGCTTCTGTACCGATTCACTAAGCATTTTGCAATACCAAGAAACTGACTCTTTTCTGTTTGTCCTCTTTCAAATCCCAGAATATGATCCCATTTTGCTTCTTAATTTGATGTGGGCTTTGTTTTTTCTCCTTGTTTATTTTGGAATGGACGCCTATTGTGATCTTGAAGTTGATGTCAACGGAGAAGAGGTTTTCATGGTGGACAAGGTAAGCTTCTATTTTCAGTTTCAATCAAAATTCTACTCTTTTTTCATCAATAAATTATACATTATTTAGATTTTACTATTAATGAAATTGCAGAAATTAAGGCTTTTGAATGAATTTTACTCAAATTGTAAGATGGGTTATCTGAAAACTTGATTCTTTGGCAAATTTGTTTGCAGCACATTACAAAATTTTCCTGTTATTATGTGGTGCTTGATTTCTGGTGATTATTCTCTGTCAAATCCACTTATTTTCACCATTCAGACAAAGCATTTTGCTTATTGTTGTTGTTATGGAGATTTAATGTTCAAATTGTTTTTGTTATGGAGATTTAATGTTCCAACTTTTATGTTCCTTTACAATTATTTCGAAAGCGACTAATAACAGAGTCTTGTTGGGATTGTTGGCATGCATCTTTCTTGATACCCTATACTGCATTGATTATGTATAAGAATTCTCATATTTCATTTTCTTTTTCGGGAAATTGAGTCCACAATTTGTTTGTGTTTCATTTTCAGTTTTTCTAATCTCGATTATGTTAGTCCAAGGACGAGGACGAGCACCACTGTAAATGCTGCGTGGGGCTTTTTGTATTTGTAACATAACATAATTTCCTTTCTTGTTATTTCATCAATATCAATCTGTGTTACTTGGTTTTCCATAACTTTCTCGTTTTGTATCCATTGATTGCAATGTTTATTTAAACTCATTATTGCAGTAGGTATGGATATAATTTCTTTGTAGTCCAATTACTTTATGTTTTCTTTTTTAAGTTTCTTTTTCTGTTGCATCGTCAACTTTTTTCTTATCTGGCTTTTTTTTCTATAAATCTTGCAGAAAGTTCTATCATCTTATTCGGGAAGTATAAAAAAGATGTTTAGCAAATCAAAAGGTGGAAAACGAAATCTGAAGGTGATATACCATGACTTTCCCGGAGGAGCTGAAAATTTTGAGCTCATCACGAGGTTCTGCTACAACAACGGCAACATTGACATAAATCCTTTTAATATCACTGACCTAAATTGTGCTGCATATTTCATGGAAATGAACAAATGTGTCACTGGAAACAAAAATTTACTTGAGCAAACTGAAAAATCGCTTGAAGGTATCAAGTATTGGACATGGTCCGAACTTATGGCAGCTTTGAAGCGGTGCCAAGATTTCTTCCCAGTCGCAAGCTCTTCGGGTATACTTGAAAAATGCTTGGATTCTCTTCTTGGAAGGGTTGCATCATCCTGTGAAACAAGTCCGTGTCCATCCGTCTCTTCACCTGATAGTTCTAAATTTCGGGCATCATGCGACACAAGAAGTAGCGAGAGCTTGAAAAGCAGCTTCCTTCGAGTTACCTGGTGGTTTGAAGACCTCGTACAGTTGGATATTCACGTGATTGAAATGTTGGTGAAGTCAATGGTATCTAGAAACTTAAACCATAGTATAATTGGTAAGTTTCTCTTTCATTACCAAAAAGCAAGATTGGCTTCCACCTTTTCAGACGAGAAAATTAGGATGGTTGAAACAGTTGTTGAGATGATTTATTCTTTGGATTTAAGCACTGTGTCTTACAAGAGATTGTTTGGGATGCTTAGAGTTTCTTTACATGTAAACATAAGAAAATGCTGCAGGAACAAGTTGGAGAGTATGATTGGTTTGCAATTAGATCAAGCAACACTAGACGATTTGCTTGTTCCATCTCCAGTCCGGGCACGTTACTTGTACGATGTAAATCTGGTTCTTAGGCTCTTGAAATCATTTCTTGCAAAAGGAGTATGGTGTTTGCCATTGAGTCGACTGAAGAAAGTGGCAAGCTTAGTAGATTTATATATAGCTGAAGTAGCTCCCGATCCTCATCTGAAACCATCGAAGTTCTTGGCTCTAATTATGGCCATGCCGGACTCTGCTAGAGACTCTTTTGATGGAATCTACCATTCCATAGATTTGTATCTAGAGGTATGTTATATATATACTGTGAATTCTCATGGAAAAGTATATCGCAGATTTGAATCTTTGATTGCAAACATGCAGAAAATGATGATTTAGTTTCTTGATATTGATACTTCTTTGTTTGTATAGTTCATCTCTCGCCTCTCGGGAAATGAATTGAGGGAAAGCTCATTCCTGCGCTTTATTCTTATGTTTGACAATTAATGTTCCAGGTTCATTCGGGGTTGTCTGAAGAAGAAAAAACGAGAGTCTGTAGTGTACTAGATTATGAGAAACTATCATCCGAGGCCTTAAACCACCTCGCTGCAAACACAAAGTTCCCATCAAAATCTGCAGTTGGAGCCCTTAACTTTCAGCAGCGCAGACTCAAAAACTTGCTTCAACGCACAAATCAATCAAATAGCTTCACCAACTCTCCCATTTTTCACGAAACAGAGCGCACAGAGGGGAAAGACGAAAGCTGTGAACAAATTGTGCTTTATGCAGGAAATCTCAATTTCTCAACTGAGACGGAGAGGATCCGAGCACATTTACAAGGCATGCAATGGAGAGTGCTGGAATTGGAAAAGATTTGCAGGAAAATGCAAATTCGGATGACAAAGATGATGAAATCAAGATTATCAAACCAAAGCAATGCTAATTCTGTACCTAGGCTTTGTTCGTGAAATAAATTATTAATTTATTTCTTGTATCTCCATTTTTACATATATATATATATGTGTACATAGTCTGGGACATATTCCTTTCCTTTATTTTCTGCATCATAAAAAGTGATTTGAGGAAAGTGGCTTTTACAGAGAATGAAGTATTGGCAGTCTGGTAAAAGTATGAGAAAAAGCTGTGTTTTACTCCTGTAGAAACTGATTATTCCCTGAAAAGATATGTTTAAGCAAAAAATGGTAACAGTAAGGTTAAGCCACTTTTCAATGCCATTTTCTTCTCGGGACAATCCGTGATGTTGGGCGACAAATGTCTGTAGAAATAGACTCATCAGTCAGGAATGATTCTATTCCATCAGACTCTGGATCATTGCTTCTCATACACACTGTTGGCACAGCTTGATACTGTCACCTGACTGTGGATCATTCGCTGTTTGAGCATCTTCAATATCGAAGTCGATCCTAAGAATTTTGAAGATCTAAACGACTAATTATTAAGAAGTCCTTAATTTTTTACAAGCGTAATAATACTTAAATATTTACAATTATATTTTTATATTTAAACGAAAACTTTGTACAATAAAAAAAGTACAATAGCAAAATTAAACATCAATTCAAGAAGAAAGAATAGTAGCCGAATCAACAACCTTTTCTTTTGCTTTGGATGGGTGTTAGTAGATGAAATAATACGTGACAGAGCGTACAGCAAAAATTCAAAAGCTTTTCAAAATAAAACAACCCCTGTAACATTAGAGTCGATAAAGTGCGTGCCATGGAAAACACAACTTAATTGAATAATCTGGTAACTTGAAAAGTTCTTAAATCTTCTTGACCGCCGGTCTAACTACTCGTCTCCCACGTTCTCCTCAAATTCGGAGAAAGAGACTTAGTTCAAATCCATTTTTAAGTGATAATAGAGCTTGATCTACGATTCTACAATCTATATAACAATTTTCAATTGTTCGTATTATCTTTTTACAAAAAAGACTCGTCAAACAGCTTTTTTCTATGTATAAGTCGTTTTCACAAAACATTGGTTCTCTTTCTATTTCACTTGCATTCTCGTCAACATCAATTATAACCGACTCAACCCAAGTTTCTATAACTTTCGAAAATGAAAAGAGCCATTTTAAATGGTATGTAGCAACGTCAATTTACATGTCTTTTGTTTGCAAATGTTTGCTTGTTTTGCTAACATTTTTCAACATATCCTACCAAATAACTATTCCAAGTAAGAATTCAAAATTCTTAATTTCATATGTTTCCATACACCACGCCTCACATTTTGTCTTAGGATCATCAACACTTGTCAATTGAAGTAGAGCATTTTTTTATATGTGGAACTTGGAATCTTATGCTTTAACATATTCAACATGGCTTTTCCAACATATTTTTGCTAAGGGCTTAAGGGTAAGGTCATTTATATTATCTTTGAAAAACTTTCATCGTTTAGTAGATGTCAAAAATAAAGTGTATATACGTTTCACTACTCTAAAGAAAGATTTAGCTTTTAAACAACAAATGACCACTGAAACTCCTCGGAATCGACCTTGTAAAGCCAGAATAGTTCATTTGGTCTGTCAGAACGACTTCTTCAAGTAACTCAGGTGCTAGAACAGATTTTAGATTAATTAAATCCATTAACCCAATTATTAAATATTGGATCACCTTCTCACTGAATGGATCCGACTTTGACCACTTTATCTTCTCAAGTATAATTCTTCAAGCCTCCACTTTCCATGCAAGGTAAGATTCCATTTTCTGTGGCCTAGGTGGCTAGGTCATCGTTATAGGTGGCTTTGGCTCAGGGTTTAGTGCATTGTAGGATTGCTATTTAGGTGGCACAGAAGTTGAAAGAATACCTATTTACACGTCAAAAACCAAGTTGCATGTCGTTCAACCCGAACTTGGACTCTTTCTTCCCGACCTATTTGACTCTCGGAATCCATGGTAACAAAGAAAGATGAAGCAAATAAAACACACAGCTTGACACCGTGTAAAATGGAATTGAGCACGGCCTGTCTGGCAGTCTCCAACATATTCTATGAATTGCTATATTTATTTATTTTTTAAAAATAAAAATAAAATCATATTTAAATCATGTCTCATGATTAAATAGGCGATGCACATATCAAGTGAACCGTTCATAGATCAATTGCTTTTGAATAATTAAACTTAAGAAATAAACTATACTTGTGTGAAAGATTAAGCCTCTGTGTGGCCCCCATTAAATTTCATTACATTACATTAAATTTTTCTTTCTCTTTATTACAACTACACATTCATCAAATAAAATAATATTATACATAAATCTAAAACTTTTCACTACTTTTCCACCATACATTCTACCATCACTCACTATTCCAAAAATATTCTACCATAAAAAATGCACAATAATGGGATTTTCCACCATACATTCTCCCATCACTCACTATTCCAAAAATTTTCTACCATAAAAAATGCACAATAATGGGGCCAAACAGGGGCTAAGGGATCACAAGGGTTTAACGTGCAACGAAGATACCCATGTTTCAACATTTGAGCCCACCGCTAGTAGTGAGTTTCAAAAAGGCTATGAGCTTCTCCTTCGTTGAGTACGAAATTAAAAAATGTTAAAGATTTGAATATCATTGTAAACGTGTTGTACAATTTTGTTTTGGCCATCTTGAAAATAAATGATGTAATAAATGAAAACTTGTCCTTGAGAAGAAAAAAAGCGTTGAAAAATATATGTAAGAAAATATCTTCGATGCACCATGCTTTTATATATATTTCTTCCCATAGATTATGGGCATAATAAGCATAGCTAGAAAATTATGTTCTTTGTGGTCATTGTATCATATCAATTTGGATGGCACATACCATCAAACTTCTACCCCTTGGGTTCCTCTTTCGTTCAAAACCTTCCCAAACAAATTGTTAAAAAAGCTATTGGTAACATTGAACGAAGGTGGCGAATACATTGTGTTTCAAATGAACAAACTAACTACTCGAGTACAAATCAACGGTCCAGTTATTATAAGCCGAGTTCTTGGACTCATGAGTTCGTAATGTCTCTCACAAATGATAGTGGGGTAATACATTCTTTCTTCCTTGCCACATGTATTAAATTAAATCTTGTCTTTAACGTATCCTTCATGTGTAGACTAGATTTAATTTTTTATTGTGCTCATTTCTGACAGTTGCTTATAATTTATTTTTACTCGATCAAATCAATATTTATTCTTATATTTCATGAGACCCACAAGTATTATCCACTACTAATTTTATCGATTTATAATTTAAACCGATGATAAACAACTCCAAAACACGTAATAAAATTTTCACAAATAGGTGATTGATGAGACTTCAACTCATCTATTTTCAGTCACTAATACCATGTTAAATTAATTATCCAATAAAAGTTTAAGTTATAAGAGAGGAACCACGGTAATTATTAATTTGGATCTCGTCTTTAACATATTATAATATTTAATCTTACTCTTTGGGTTTTCTTTTTATCTTGTTCATATATCTTGTGTTGCATATAGAGGGAAGTTCTAAAGTTGAGTAAACTTGGAAAAGGAAGTGAGGTAGATGCTTGACGATGAATGTATGGAGCCATTGGTTGTTCTTGGATTAATTGATTGTAATCAGTGTCTAGTTTGGGATACCGCTTGAGAAAGAGTACAAACTGTGCCCTTGACCAATGTAATTAAAACTGGTCATGCTCGGCTGGTTCAACTGATGAAACTGGGCTCAAAGCTGGGTCGATTAGGCAGAAAAACTCATCTTTCTAGAAATCAATTAAACCCGCTGACCCGTCGATTTTATGAAAACCGTTGATCTGTTTTCAGTTTTCCCGTTCCCATAATTTTATTGTAGGATTTTAGCAGATGTAAAGATGGATGAAGCTTATTGGTAAAAAAAAAAAAAAAAGAAATGGTTATCGGACAAGTGGAGTTGGTAGATCATCTTTGAACTTTTCTTGGTTTAAATATATGCATGAACATAAGACTGTTTTGTTGTTGTCACCTTTGCAAGTGATCCATCATTATCAAAGCTTGTGTTCAGTGACCTTGTAGACTCCCAAATATAATAACGCAAATGTTTTGAAGATGTGATTTAATTAATTTTCTTCCAAGGAATTTTATGTGTTCAGACAAAAACTACTACTTAGAAAATTTAATATCCTTATTTTCGTTCTTATCATGAATTCATATTTTTTTGTTCGTCTCATCATTGTTGATATATTTAATGTTCTTATCTTATCATAATAGTTGGTATGCGAGTACTTTTTTTGTAGTTTAAAACATGCTAAGGTCATGAATTCGAGTTTTGTTTTTAACCTATTTATGAAGGTTTCGAGTGTTGGATCATTGAAAAATGAGTCCGACCTACACAAGGAAATAAAATATAAATAAATAAATGTAATTTTTCTTTAACATTTGCTGTTAAATGAGTTGGTCTTGTATAATCAAAAGGAAATAAAATATAAATAAATAAATGTAATTTTTCTTTAACATTTGCTGTTAAATGAGTTGGTCTTGTATAATCAAAATGAGTTCGACATACATACATACATACATACATATATATATATATATATAATGAATTGGTCTTAAATAATCGAAATGAGAAGATTTATTTGCATCAAGTATTTGATATTATTAGACTTTCTAGTTTTTACTTAAACCTGTGAAGATAAGACAAATTTATTTTTTTAACCCTAATTACATGTGACCATGTTCAAAGACATGAACGATCTGCAGTCTCCAATCAATATATAAAATGTTTTTGATGCGTGATTTAATAATTATCTTCCTAGGAATCTTCTATGTTCAGACAAATAAGTACATTATTTGTGTTAAGGATCGGATAGTTTCTCGCAGTTTTAAGGCTTGAATAGCAAACGTGTTTTGAACAATAGCTTGAATTTTTTTATCTTTAAAAGAAGACTATAGTCAATGAAAATGTGAAAAACATTAAATAAAATAAAGATAATTTATATAATTTTTTCATTTTCCAGTCCGTTGTATAAAATATTATCAAAAAAAAAATCTATGCACCATGCTCATATATATACCCAAAGACAATTGGCAGTAACGTATTAAGAATTGTGTTCTCTGTTGTATCGAATCAAGATGGCAAACACTGTCCAACTCTTACCCCTCGGTTCTTCTTTTGTTCAAAACCTTCCCAAACACAATTTGAGAGAAGCTATTTGTAATGTCGAACAAAGGTGGCAAATATGTTGTGTTGCCAACAAACAAACAAACTACTCTATTACTAAACGAGCCTCCGGGTATTACAAGCCGAGTTCTTGGAGTCATGAGTTCATGATGTCCATGGGAGATGATCACCGGGTATTGGATTCTTTTTTTAACTTCACATCTTGAGGGTAGTATATTATTTTATATATTATAATTATTTAAGATCGAGCTCTTAAAAACAAGTATTTGACTTGTTTAAATTTTAATTCATTACATTTTTTTGATGTTAAGGAAAACAACCAAGGCGTTGAGAGTTTGACTTGAACCTTGTATCCATTAATTCAAAATGAAATAAAACGAAAAAATGCTACATATTAGAAGAGAAACATAAATATTTACCTCTATACAAGACTAAAGAACAAAATTTAAAATCAACTTGTATTGAATGTTGGTTAATTTTTGTACTATTTTTTTTTTTTTTAATTCTAATTACAAGTGAATATTATCGTACTCTTTGAACAAATCAAAATTTTCAATAAATTCTTATATCCCTTGTCTTGCATGCAGAAGGAAGTTAAGGTGAGTAGCATAAAGAAGTTGGAGGAGGCAGTGAAGTACATGCTTGACGATGAAGGTATGGAGCCATTGGACACACTTCAATTAATTGATGAAATTCAACGTCTAGGCTTGGGATACCGTTTCAGAGAGAGTACAAAATCTGCTCTCGACAAAATCTTATGTTCAGAAAAAGTGATAAAGAAAATGGACCATAGTATTCATACTTGTGCTCTCTACTTCACCCTCCTTAGACAACATGGATACGAGGTTTCTGCAGGTACGTAGTGTCAAACATGATTTTGTCTTTTGAATTGATGAAAAAAGTTGATAGATGGTGTTACAAATATATATACAAAACATGGAAGTATTTAATTAAAAAAGTAATGCTAAGATCATCGTGTTTACGTGACATTAAATGATATATACAATAAAATAGAATGTGTCTTCATTTAATTGAATTTATCATTTAATATCAATGTCATTCCATATTGGCTATTATCATCGTGTTGACAAATAACATTATTTTAACTAGAATCAAATGTATAAAGTATAGGAAAACTCAAGGCAAAAGTTAATGCTTATTTTTTTTAGTATATTTCTCAACTAAAAACAAAGGATTCATGAAACAGCCAAAATGCATAGATTAAGAATCTTATGTCCATTTGACTCCCAATATTCCTTAAAGAATTTTTGCCATAAATAGCTGGCTTTTTATCTTGTGCTCAGACATTTTCGAGAATTTCAAGGACCACAATGGCAACTTCAAGGGAAGCCTGGCCCAGGATATTCCAGGAATGTTGACGTTGTATGAAGCTTCACATGTTGCATACAATGGAGAGAATATATTAGATGAGGCAAGAGAATTCACAACTATGAACCTCAAAGAAATGCTGGGAAAAATTGACATGAAAATGGGTGCACGAGTGATCCATGCCTTGGAAATTCCATTTCAGTGCAGAATGCAGAGGCTAGAAGCCAGGTGGAATATTGAAGCATATACTAAAAAAGATGAGGCAAATCAACTGCTACTTAAATTAGCAAAATTGGATTTCAACATGGTCCAATCCATGCTCCAAAGAGATCTCCAACAAGTCTCATGGTAATTTTATTACTGATATATATATGTGTGTGTGTCAATCTAAAAAGTTATTAGCACTAGAAGATAGAGATGAATCACAAATTTGTTATCCAGCAATATTTGATGTCTTATGTCATCAATTCTTAGAACATTATTTCTATATACACCATCAAAGCTAAGGCAATAGATGTTAGGGTTTGAAAATTTGAAATCCCCTATTATGTATACATGAAATCATGCAATATAAGTGGAAATAAATAGTTTAAAAGAGCCTAACATAGGCCTAAAGAATACTATGTTTTGTAATTAGCCTTCATTTGGTATGAAGTTATGGAATATGCATGCAGTTGGTTTCAAAAGCCTACGTATGGTATTGGTCCCCTATGTATAATTACATTGAATATAAACGAACAGAAATGTAAGAACCAAAAAGAATCTCTCTACATAAGCAGAGCTACCAGAATTTCACTAGATGCTCATGTGGCAACATCTGGTTGGTCTGCTTTATTATATATAAATATATATGGCCATTATTGAATCAAAATCTGCCTAATGTATTGTGGCAAAATTCTGACAACATACTTTTGTACACATAGTAGGGTTCCATCTAAAATGGACCATAGTTAACATGATCTCTCTCTCTGATGAAGTGCATAAGGAGTTAGAATTTATGATGAAGTGAAATCGCAACGAAAAATAATGATTTTATGATAACTTCGAGTTTGTCATTTTTGGCAAATTAGTAGTCTAATTTGATTGGAAACGGACCAAGAATCACAAGACGTCGAANATCTCGAATTTTTTCATTTATAGAAAAATATCGTTTTTTTTTTATTTTCATTATTTATTTTCCGAAATTTGATAGGGTTTTACTATTTAAATCATTATAAGCCCTTTGAGACAGACGTTATTGAATTGAATAAGAATTTTCGTAAGTTTATCTCATATTTTTAAGATTGTTCATTTTTCCTATAATCTTCCGCTACGTCACACACACTCTCTCTCACATTTATATATTAGTATTTGTGGTTATAGTTTTATTGAAAATTTTGTAGTTGGTGGAAGGACGTGGGCTTAGCAAATAAGTTGTACTTTGCAAGAGACAGACTGATGGAGAGCTTCTTTTGGTCAGTTGGAATGGTATTTGAACCACAATTTAGTGAATGCCGAAAAGGTTTAACCAAAGTGGCTAAGCTAATCACTATTATAGATGATGTTTATGATGTTTATGGCTCTCTTGAAGAACTCGAACAATTTACAGATGCCGTTGAGAGGTTTGTACTTAAAGAAGACAATACATGCTATTAAATTTTTGTACTTCAAAACCTAAATTTTAACTAGTTATTGATCTGATTTTTGGTACTCTGCAGATGGGATATCAATGCTTTGCAGCATCTTCCTGACTTGATGAAGATATGCTTTTTAGCTCTTTACAATACTGTTAATAACATGGCATATGATGTTCTCAAGGATCAAGGGCAGGTCATCCTTCCTGAGCTCACAAAAGTGGTAAGTGCAACAATATTTTATAATATTTTCAAATTAATAAAATGTATTTCCATTTATTATCTTATTTCTTCAAAATATATACTTTGTCATACTTTTGATTCAATGATAACACTAGTTTTTGATAAAAAATTGTGAAAAATATGATTAAATTAATTGCTGAATTACGTGAGACTAAAATATCTCCTCCAAACAGTGGCATAATGTATTTTAATTTAGTACATTTTCTATTATTTTTGTTATTTTATAAAACCTAACATTTATAGTGTAATATTATCGTGGTACTAAAGTCACAATAAATTTGGCATTAAATGTTAAGGGTTAGATTTCTTTTTAGCTCCTTTTCTTACTGTTATTTCCTTTTCCCTTCTGTTATTAGATTTTGATAGCTGAACTTATCTCTACAAATCATGTTTTTCAGTGGTCAGATTTATGCAAACTGTTCTTGAAGGAAGCGCAATGGAGTCATAGCAAACATATACCTACTTTTGATGAGTATCTCAATACTGGATGGTTATCATCATCTGGACCACTTCTACTTGTTCATGCCTACTTTCTAATGGAAAAAAATATTACAAACGAAGCTATAGAATGCTTGAACAGCTACCCCGCTCTTTTACGCTACCCATCCACAATTTTTCGTCTTTCCAATGATTTAAGTTCCTCGAAGGTATGTTACCTTCTAGATCACTTTCTTAGAAGACAACAATAATTTATTAAGTCATTAGTGCTTATATGTACTTTTATTGTAGCAGGCCGAGATTGAGAGAGGGGAAACTACAAATGCAATTTCATGTTACATGCATGAAAATGGTGTTTCTGAGGAAGTTGCTCGTGAATACACTAGGAGTTTGATTGATGAGAATTGGAAGATGATGAATAAAGAATTGGTTTCGAATTCCATTTTCAGCAAGTCCTTTATTGAAATAGCCATAAACCTTGCTCGAATAGCCCAATGTCACTACCAGTACGGAAATTCTCACAGTGATCCAAATGACATAACGAGAAACCGAATTTTATCTCTTATTGTTGAGCCCATTCAATTGACGCAGCCGTAGATGAACTTGAAACGACGTATAAATTGAGAGAGAAGATTTTTAATATCAACAAGTGAAACTGCTTTATATATTATAAGGTACACAAGAATGATTATTGAACAAAGGTGGTAGAGGAAGTGATAATGAGTCAATGACGTTGCTGGTTCAACCTCGACTGAAGGATGCTTCTTGCTAGCTTATACTCAATTGAAAGGTCAAGTATTAATCTATTTTGTTTCAAAATAAGTGTTTAACTTTTGGTAAGTAGAAGTGTTTTATTGTTGGGGCTATATACAGAGTTATCGGCCAATAGACTTGCATGTATATTTTATTGAAAATTAAAGCACTATATTTATACGTTAGATTGATTATGGTTGCATGGCTACAATAATCATATTAATTAGAGCTGCTGAGATATAATAGCCATTCAATAATTAAAATACAGTGGGATTAAAATACCAAGCAATGGAAAAAAAGAGTACAACTAATTTTAAAATAATTATAGTAATAAAATACCGTCTCGTTAAAATCTTGTCTAAAAAATCAAATGGGACAAAACTTGAGTAAATAATGTATGATTTTATTCTATTGTATAAATAGACCATTTGTCTTTTGAAAAATGTGATTTAATGAAATGAAATATTTGGTGTTTTAAATTATGTGTTCAAACTCTCACTATTAAATGAAATCAACGAGTTTTTGATTCATTGCATTGTGATGAGTGAATCAACAAGAATTAAAAGATTGTTCGTAATTTTTGTATTCTCACAATTTCATGCGCACTACTCTATATGTGTTTAGCACCAGTTAAACAATGGGCTTTCACAATTATTATTGTAATTCAAGAATAAGATGTTGGACCTCTAGTTGAGTCACTTGATAGTAATTAACTGAATTCAATTAAACAACAATCTATTGGGACTGGACTATGGGCGTCAACGAGCCGCGAGTCAAAATTTTTTGCTCGAGCTTGGCTCGAGTAAAAATAGTTCGAGTTTTTTTTGGTTCAGCCGAGCCGAGCCGGGCAAAAGCAATTTTTTTAAAGAATTTAAAATTTGTGCAATTTATATGTATTATAAATAACTAAATATTAACATCTTATACTATATTAAAGAAGGATAGTTCCGCAACAGTGTTCCCGCCCATAATTCTGGCCTCCATCCCGCCCAAGATAAAAAAAAAAAAAATTGCAGATTTTTTGAATTGAATACCGCCCAGAATTTTGAATTCAATCCCGCCCAACCAAAAGGCTTACTTCTTGCTTCATAAGCTGGAAAAATGCCCAGCCGCTTGAAAAAAAGAGAAGCCTCCTCCCTCAGCGACTCTAACCTCTCTGTCTCCAAACTCTGTCCAGACATTTTTATTGAGCCGTTGCATAGACTATAGTGGTGGTGTGTGTTGCTGGGTTAATGGAGTACATAGAAGTGGTGGGTAAGGGTGTTCTTCCCCAATTCAGCATGTTATCCCTCATTGCATATTTCCAGAATTCGAGCTTGATGAACGAAATGCAGGTGGTCAGGTAAGCTTAATGAACGAAGATGAGATATCTGTTTTGGTCTAATGTGTGATTTTTGAATATTGGATGGTATTATTTAAATCCATTACCGATCACTCCATTAGAATTTATTATTGCAAATGATTATTCAGCTTACAAAAGGAATGAAAAATATAAAAAAATTTCGCACAGATTTCTACAAAATAGAAGTTATGGTTTTGAATGTTTGATGGTAAACTAATATAGATTTCATCTGAGTCTTAGAATTTATTATTGCAAGAAGGAAAAAAAAATTCGCCAGGCCCCGCGCTGGGAGCCAGCTCCGTGCAGAACGGAGCTGGACTGTCCAGCTCTGCAGCATGGAGCTGGTAGTAATTTTTTTTTTAAACATAGAATGAGTAAGATTATACCATATATATAATTTAAATTTAAATATGTTAAATTAAACTAAATAATTTACTTGATATACCATGTATTTTCGACTTTGAGTAAGATTATTTATGATTATCACTTCGAGTAAGATTATACATGTATTTTACTGTAGAAACTAAATATTGACCATTTGAGTTGAAACAGGTCTTTTGGTTGAAGTGAAGATGAAAATGGCTACTGTAATGGTGTCCTCAGAGAGAATAAAGAGCAGGAAGCTGTTGCAAAGTAAGGACCAGATCTTCGTGAGAGAAATAAAACTTACCAGCCATCAAATGTGTAAGAAACTCTGCAAATTTTTTGTTTCTCCTGGAATTTTGTCCATTTTCTGTTTGTATTGTGATAAAAAAACATTATTTGAAAATTTTTGGGTTTACTACTATGACTTGGTTGTGTCAACCTTTGGTTTACAATGGCATGAAAAATGAAAGCTGATGTCAAGGTGTTTGATAGAAGTTCTGCATCTGTTTCCTCCATTTTTTTTATAAAGGTTTGAATCTCAATTTTGTATGTTAGTTTAAAGAATTGTTATTGGTAGCCAAAAAAAATTTTCTTCGTTCGTTATAATATCTGAAATTCTTAATTTGTTATCACTCTTTAGAAAAAAAAATGCTAGATGGAGACACCGCGCTAGATGGAGACACGGACCGTGTCTCCATCTAGAACGGACACCACGGTGTCTCCGTGCTGCACGGAGTTGGGTAGTAATTTTTTTTTTTTTTTAACATAGACTTATGCAATGAGTAAGATTATACCATATATATATAATTTAAATTTAAATATGTTAAATTAAACTAAATAATTTACTTGATATATCATGTATTTTCGACTTTGACTTCGACTAAGATTATTTATGATTATCACTAGCCTCAAATGCGAAGCAGCCTATTCGTAATTATCAGATTGCTTCAATAAAATAGTTCAAATCAGTAATGCATAAATGTGCATCTCTGTAATGAATAAATGAGCAGAACTCTCAGTAAAAAGAAGAAATAAAATTACTTGCAATGAGGTTGAAGTCTCCATTTGCAGGTATTTTTAAAGTTCAATTGGCCAAATTCATGAGTAACTAGCTTTTTGATGTTCAGATTTACTTTTTTTATTTTTTTAGTTTTAGTTTTGGATTTGGTTACTTTGAGTAAGATTATACATGTATTTTCTTGATATTTGTTAATTTTTTCGGATTTGTCTGCAGAACAACAAAGTGAGATTTCTTTTCATCGCTTTCTTCACATTTTAGTTGCATTGCAGTAGCTTCAAATAGTGAAGATGATAAATGAGAACAAAACAATTAAGAACTCATCTTTAAATTACTAACATTTTTATTTAAAACTACTCAATCACTCACAAGTTAATTTTATGAAGTGTTTTGCATCTAATTAGATTGAAAAATCAATTAGCATATGTTTCTCATATTAGAATTGTTTATCACTTAATATAAATTTGTACACCTCACAGTGTCATCCGACCTCTTACACCCTCCTTTAAGATAAGAGAAAATACGAAATTTCATCTCAAACAGAGACAACATTATTGTTGAAGAACAACATCTAAGACATGACCTATTGTAAGAACCACAAATTTTTGTATCGTTGTGATAATGAAGCCTTATTCTATTGGAGTTTACATAAGCCTTATTCTATTGTCTACAGACAGAAGCCTTTTTAGAGTTTACAAAAGCTTTATTCTATTGTCTACTTCCATTCCGCGGCATCATTACAGACGTGAGTTTACTTTCCTTGCCATCTTTTCCCTTGACATCATTTTCTCTATCATGCGTTATTGGTTCTTTGATCTAAAAAATATTATTTATCTCTAATTCATTTATGCAATCTAGAAAAAGATTTTAAAGATGAATAAATATTTTGTGCTGTTTATGGCTGGGGTACTAAATGAAGTTAAAAGACTCAATCTCCATATTTTAGGGTGTTTTAACAGATGGTAGCATGTTGGCTAAGCTTAAAAGGTAGAAGAAGTTACATCAATTAATTAATTGCTATAATATACATTCAACTTCTAAATGTAACAAACCCTATTAAGTTATGAAAAGCATCCACTTATTTCAACATATATCATCAGCAACTGTTGCTTTTATCATTTCTACCTAGAGCCATCAGAATCATCAAATATGCAAATTGATATATACTTGATTTAATGTAAATTAAGAAGTTGAATGTGTGTGTTATTATTTGAATACTTTTAGAACATAGATTTACTATAATTTGATATATTACTTATTACCTGAATGAACGAAAGTGATGCGAATTGAATATTGAATTAGAAAAATGGCAGTCATACGATTAAAACGTCAATGCGCCATTTTAGGTATACAAAACAACATTCAACTTAATCAGTAGAACTGAACACTAAATTCGTAGAAACGTCAGCTATGCGTTTAAAACAGCAACATGCCATTTTGGGTCACAAGTTCTCGACTTATGGGGGTTGAATGAACGAAAGTGATGCGAATTGAACATTGAATTAGAAAAATGACAGTCATACGATTAAAACGTCCGTGCACCATTTTAGGTATCCAAAACAACAATCAGTTGAATCAGTAGAATTGAACACTAAATGCGTAGAAACGTTATCTATCTGTTTACAATGACGACGTGTCATTTTGGTTCACAAGGTCTCGACTGTGGGGGCTGAATGAACGAAAATGATGTGAATTGAATACTGAATTAGAAAAATGGCAGTCATACGATTTAAACGTCTATGCGCCATTTTAGATATACAAAACAACATTCAGCTTAATCAGTAGAACTGAACACTAAATTCGTAGAAACGTCAACTATGCGTTTAAAACAGTAACATGCCATTTTGGGTTACAAGGTCTCGACTTATGGGGGTTGAATGAATGAAAGTGATGCGAATTGAACATTGAATTAGAAAAATGACAGTTATACGATTAAAACGTCCATGCACCATTTTAGGTATCAAAAACAACAATCAGTTGAATCAGTAGAACTGAACACTAAATTCGAAGAAACGTCAGCTATGTGTTTAAAACGACGACATGCCGTTTTGGGTTACAAGATCTCGACTTGTGGGGCTGAATGAACGAAAGTGATGCGAATTGAACACTGAATTAGAAAAATGACACTCCAGCACGTTCTGGATGGAGACACGGGCATGGCCGTGTCTCCGTCCAGCACGGAGACACGGATTTTTAAAAAAAAAAAAAAAAAACCACCCAAACCGACAGTTTACTTTTGCACCACCTCCAAATGTATTTTCTTTCATTTATCTGATTTGCATATAATTAGTTATGTGGTGTATATATTTTTATTTAAATTTATGAAGTGTTTTGCATCTAATTGGCTTGGAAAATCAATTAGCATATGTTTATTATTAGAATTGTTTGTCACTTAATATAAATTTTTACATCTCACCGACCGTGCATCGCACGGGTGAAAGACTAGTATGAAAAAATTATAGCCAAAATTAAAAGAAAAAATTTAAAATTTTTAAAAAAGAAGTGGCATGCAAGTTTTTATTATTATTATTAGGCTCATGGGTCGAGCCACACGGCCAACCAACTTGAGTCGATGCCCCAAAATGGGGCTCTGCCCTAGCCTCGGCTCGATCCCATCGAGCCACGAGTCGGCCCAGTTTGGACTTTTTTTAGTTGAGCACGAGCCGGCGAGCCACTTTACAAAACTTCGCACCGTCCTCATTCACTGGTCACATGAAAATCGCAACATCGAGCTCAACGACTATGAGCGTTGTGCAATGATGATGGTATGAAGAGTGTTTTTGACCAATTATTTGATTGATTGTAATTAATAAATTGGTTAATGTATGACCAATAAATAATATGTGATTAAGGATGACAAAAAAATTTGTCGGCTCGGCTCGGGCCGGCTCATGGCACGGACAAGCCTGCCCGTTAAAAAAATTGAAATTAAAATTTTTTAAAAGAGCTGCCTGCAAAGGCAGCTTGTAGCTACGCAGACAACTTGAGCTGCCTTTGCAGGTAACTATTTTTAGTTGCCTGCAAACCAAAAACTCGAGTCGGCTCGGCCCGCTAGGGCTCGGTCGGACCTATTTTTTTGGCCGGGCTTTGCTCTGCTCGGGCCCTAAAAAGCTCGAGCCGAGTCCTAACTTTTTTTTTTCGACTTGGGCTCGGCTTGACTGACTCGTTGACATAGCTATATGTGACTGATGAAACAAATTGTTTGTGATCAATAAATACTATGCGGCCTAGAAAATGTGAGATTTCGACTAAAATTGTAATTGTGACTTGCAATTTGTTAAGTTGTGACCAAATAATTTTATAATTTATAACCATGAAATAAGTTGTGACTCCTAAATTTTGTGATTGAAAAATAATACGTGACCTATTAATTTGATAATATGTGATCGATAAATAAATTGTGACATATAAAATTTGTGATTTGTGTCCAACGAATAATACCCGACCTATTAATTTTGTAAATTGTGATTTATAAAATTTATGATTTGTGATCGAGAAATAATATGTGATCAATTAATTTAATAATTTGTGATTTAAAAATAAGTTGTGACCTATAAATTTATAATTTGTGATTTTGATGTATGTAATTGTGATTAACATATAACTGTTACCATAAATTACTCAATATAGTGACATTAATATATATAATTAATTAAATATATTTTTAATTAATTATTTAATAAATAAAATTTAATTAAGATTTGATTTTTGAAATAATAAAACTAACTTCTTAATTTTTTGAAAAAATAAAACTAATTTTATAATTTTGAAATCACCTTATTTATGTAATGTTCCCTTGTTATTTTTAGTTTACCCTGGTTCAATTTAAAGTTGAAGCCCGATTCCATCATCTAGCTCGTTTCCAGCCATCTCAACAAATTTCTTGAAGCCTAGATTTTTAAAGTTTTAGGTTTACAACTCAGGCTTTATCTATCTCAAAATCAAAAATTAGGTCCCAAGTTTAGAATTGCAAAAATCAGGTTTTTCATAAATTAATTAATTATATTTCACAATTATTATATTAAATTAAATATTAAACTGTAATATAATATAATTAACCCATCCCACTGCCACCTCTGCTCCGACGACTACTCCGGTGACCGGCAACAATTC